CCTCCACCGTACCAGGCCTTCGCGCCCGCGCCCACAGTCCCAGAGGGGCCTCGCGCCTGCGCCCGCTGCCTGCGCCCGCCTCCCCCAAGGGGCCTCCGCGCCCGCGCCCGCCACCCTCGAGCGGCTTTCGTGCTCGCGCCCGCTGCCCTCGCGCTGTCAAGATATGTTATACAGATTTCATATACTTGATTGTAGTTGTAGTATAGGTATTGTATCCTGCCTGGTGATGCACCTTCTTGAGTTGATCTTTTCTCATTTGTACTACTGAAACGAATATTTTTTGCCATCACCTTCCTCTCGCTACTCTCGTCCCTCTTGCCATGGTTAGTTCAAACCCTAGCTATGGCTCCTAACTAAAATGTTGTTTTAACATGGTGTTAGAGCACGTGAGGTTCTGTCAAAATACTAAGAACCTAGGAACTAGGTTTAGGCTTAGGAACAAGCATCATGGCGAAAGAAACGGGAGTAGCAGGGATGAGAATGAAGCCAAAAGAGGTGTTTCACTATTGAGCAAAGGGTACAAATAGGAGAGAACAAACAAGCAAGGAAATGTGCACCACCAACAATTTATAACAAAAACTACAGTGACTACAGCAAGCAGGATATAACAACTTTGACACACCCCCTTAGCCTGCTTGCGGTAGGAAATAGTGCAGTCAGCACCCCCTGAAGGAGTAAACCAAGCGCAGTTGAAGATGGCAGAGAGGTAAGGAAGGATGAGGAGGCGAGAGGAGAGGAGAGAAGAGGAGAGGAGGTGGGGGGCTTGCATGAGCGTGACAACTCATTACCCGGAGTACCCGCTTACAAACCTCCTTTTACAAAGGGGGAGGTGAGAGAGGAAAGGGATACGAGGTGGGCAAGGTGGGCATGAGCGCGCACGCTCATAGCGATCCTCCCTCGTTAATAACCCCAAGTCCCGATGAGGAGAGGTGGTGGGCTAGGTGGGCATGAGAGCGCACGCTCATAGCGGTCCCTCCCCGTTAATGACCTCCAATTCCTCACCCCCTTTTTCAGTCAACCCCTTTAACATCACTCCCTCCGCACCTTTCTACTTTTGCCACCCTCTCACCCTCCTCCCCTTCTTCCCCTCCCCCCGCTCTCCACGGCGACAAGCCCTGCAGGAAGAGAGAGGGGATGGACGGGCTGCTGGCTGGTCACCCCCGCCACCCCCACATCCCCCCCCCCCCCCCAACGGCAGAAGCCGCGGAAGGGAAAGGGGGTTGCGGCGTACGAAGCTGTAGAAGCTGGCGCTTCGCAGCTGGCGCGGGCGTTGGCGCACGCGCTGGTGCTGGTTGCTAGCGCTGGCTGCTGGCGCTGGCGTCCGCGCTGGCGCCGTCGCGGACATCTGCGCTGGCGCCTGGCGAGAGCATTTGCGCTGGCGCTGGTCGCGGGCGTTGGCGCACGCGCTGGCGCTGGTTGCTGACGCTGGCGTCCGCGCTGGCGCCTGGTGAGGCGTTGGGCGGGCTGCGCGCTGTTGGAACGGGTTGCGCGTGAACGGGACAGGCTGCGCGCTGGGCAGAACGAGCTGCGCGTAGGGAAAAACGGGTTACGTGCAGGGCAAAACGGGCCGCGCACGGGCAAAATGGGCTGCGCGTGGGGCAAAACGGACTGTGCGCGGAGCGCATCGGGCTGCGTGACGAGTGGGTCCATGACTCTGAAAAGGACAGGGAGGTTCCAGGATGGAACCTGCTCTGATACCATGTCAAAATACTAAGAACCTAGGAACTAGGTTTAGGCTTAGAAACAACCATCATGGCAAGAGAAACGGGAGTAGCAGGGATGAGAGAAAAGTCAAAAGAGGTGTTTCACTATTGAGCAAAGGGTACAAATAGACAACAAACAAGCAAGGAAAGGTGCACCATCAACACTTTATAACAATAGCTACAATAACTACAACAAGCAGGATATAACAACTTTGACAGGTTCTACCATGTTGCATTTTAAGTACCCCATGGGCCCACCGCGTATTCCTCGTTTCGTGGCGCCCGTTGCGCCCTTAAATGCGACTGACGTGACGGGCACGACGGCGACGTGTCTGCTGCTGCACGTCTCATGCTCGTCTCCTGCCCCTCGCACTGCACCATCGACCCTACTGTCATGGCGACGAGCTGGGCGGCTCGCGCTGCCCCGTCGCTCCATCGCCCCGTCACCCGCCCCGTGCTACCCTCCTAGTCCAGCGCTGCCCCATCCCTCGTCCCGTTACGAGCACCCGTAGCCACGCGCAGCTGCGCCGCTCCCCTGCCCTGCACCTGCTGCTTGTACGCCAGTGATAAAGGGCGGGGAGGGTGTGGGGGTGGCGCATGGGTGACGCAGCTCCTGCCACTACCGTCCGCCTTTTCTTCCCTCTCACTGTTGCTCGTGCATCAGTGGGAGGGGGGGCTGAGGGTAAAAGAGGGTGGTGGAAGTTAGTCGAGCATCTGCTGCTGCCACCCGCTGCTACGGTGGCACCTCTAGCTGCCACCCCTGCCACCACCTGCCCTTTTTTCTGTTGTCTGCTGTTGGGGCCAGCAGGTGCTGCCGTTGAGCCGTTGCTGTCCTGCTTCTCGTTGTAGCCATAATGTCTGCTCCTCAGGCGACCTGCCGCCTCTTGCACCTACTTCTGCTTCTGCCTTGGTTGAGGGTTGCTAAAGCTGTATGTGCCACCACTGCATTGGTTGCCAATGCACTTGCTTGCTGCTGCACTTATGGGGCGTGTCAAATATGTTCTATATATTTAATATAATTGTTTGTATTCATAGTGCAGTTAATAAATCATGTTTGGTGGTGCACCTCCTTGTGTTGATGTTTTTCTATTTGTATTGCTGGCTCTATAATGAAACGCCTCTCTCTTTGTCATCACCTTCCTCTCGATACTCTCGTCCCATTTGCCATGGCTAGCTCAAACCCTAGCCATGACTCCTAAGTAAGTTGTTTTAACATGCCCGCCACCCCTGAGGGGCCTCCGCGCCCGTGCCCGCAGCCTCCAAAGGGGCCTCTGTGCCCACGCACGCCGCCCCCGAGGGGCCTCCGCGCCCGCCGCCTCTCAGGGGCCTCCTCGCCCACGCCACCGCCCTCGAAGGGCCTCTACGCCCACGCCCGCCGTCCGCCGCCCGTGCCCGCTGCCCCCGAGGGGCCTCTACGCCCTTGCTCGCGCCCGCTGCCCCGTAGGGCCTCCGCGCACGCACACGCACCCGCCGCTCCCCATGGGCCTCCGCGCCCGCGCCCGTGCCCGCGCCCGCGCCCGCCGCCCCCAAGGAGCCTCCGTGCCTGCGCCCGCGCCCACGCCGCTGCCCCCAAAGGGCCTCTGCTTTCGTGCCCGCTGCCATCAAGAATCAAGAGATTGTGTGGGGTGGGAGTGGGAGATAGATTTGACTTGACGAGACAAAAAAATCGCCAAACAAAAACTCGCTAAGTGTAAAACGTGAATGCGGTTCAGCACGGTGATATGACGATAGTTGCGAACTCCTCTGTGAGACACGTAATAATTGCCTATTTTAATATATTCTCCTTTTTTTTGGCTCGCAGACTGTTGAAAAGTTTGAAGCAAATGCACCGTGGTCATCCTCAGTGCTAACATTTGTCTATAAGGGAAGGGAGGGTTTGAGAGAAAATGTCGCGAGCCCCATCAAGCGAACGACACGGCCCTTCTCTCATCCGACGTATAAAGGCGCACCATTCTTTGCTGGATGCATTTGGTAAACTCAGAAAGTCCCCCCTCTTATGCTACTCCACCCCTCTCACCAAGCTTTGCTCTCATCTATTCGTCTTAAAACGCACCACTCCCTGTCAAATACATGCTGGTAAACTCAGAGACTCTCCTCCCCCGTCATTCCCCCACTTGTGTTGCTCCGTCCAGGGCCCAAAATTGGTTTTGGGGCACCTTGCCATATCAGGGTCCCCCAGAGCCCTTTGCCTGACAGTCAGGGTGGATTTTGTTTCGCCCGGTGCTAATCAGTATCCTGTATTTGTAAGGCTATTTATGGAAACACCCTGCTTGCAAGAGAAAGTCAAAATGTCACTACTACTTCCCCTACATGCAACCATACATAACCCACCCACCACTAACAAAACATTGCACCACTCATTCTCGGGTCCCTCCTGGCGGTCTGCACTTCCAGTTGTGTCAGGGACTGCTGCAGGGTTAATCTGAGTACACTTGGGTTGCTGCCAGTGAAGTCTTGGATT